GCACTCTGACCATGTAGAGGTGTGTGCAACCTCTGGCTTCTCAGTATTTTTAGGTAAAATAAAAGACTGAGTTATGGAAAACTATTAGCCACAACAAAAAATACTTTAAGGCTCTGGGCCATCTACATGTGTGCTCACAGGTTCTAAAATGAATCTTCTGAAAGACTTCTTTGGTCCAGCTTCAATCTTGTTAGAAATCCATCCAGGCAAGAATGAAGTAATATCTACACTGGCCTCATACTTCAAAGTTCAACATCCCCATATAAGAATGCTCTGAAAGAAGGTGTCCCCAACTTTTTCTCAAGCTGGCCCGCCTGTAAGAAGCAACCCAATGACAATCCGATCTGAGCCAAGCATCCAGATACCTGCCATCCATAACGTAAGCTCGACAAATGCCCCCTGCCTACCCAGGGCAGCTCCTGTGCTCACGTGTCCCACATCACACACGTACTCACGTCCCATAGTCTCCTCTCACTCCTGTCCATGCACAAAGTACATCCACATACCTTATCAGCAGCACCACACAAGGCTTAGGCTTGTCTCCAGTAGGAGAGTTGGTCCTTTTCCAACAAACTCAATTTTAAATAAAACTAAATCTAAAACCCTAGCAACGGTCATTAGTTCAACATCCCCAACGTCAGAAACTGCCTGCCTCATTAAAGAGTAAAACAGCAGCTGGTGAGGCTTGAGGCAGGGTGGTGGGCTTTAAAGATCTTCTGTGTCAACCCACCATCCTCTCTCTCACTTCTGGGCAACGCACAGATTTACATTCCCTCCAGTTGGGGTGGGAGTGCTGTAACTGCTCAGGAAACGGTCTGGAGAAGTTTGCTGCAGAAGCCGCCTGCTCCATCAGGCGTCCTGAATGTAGGGGAAGAGGAGAGGCCTGAACATCTGATACATCTGGGAGTGGAACTGCAGAGATGGGAAATGTTATGCAATTAAACTCTGCTGGCCTGTCCCGCCTGGGGAACGTGAGACCCATCAGCAGTGACCTCTTCCAATCAACTTAATTGGCCCAATCTCGCCAAGAAAAGCAACAGAATTGGTTTAGTGCCTCTTGGAAATAGCTTAGCTCCTGACTATTTATGGCCACTGAACTCAAGGATGGGAGCCTGACTCTGAGCCAGGAGTTGACAGCATGTGTTAACTTCTGGGAAGAACTGGAGGTTTCAGTGGCTTTCCGTGCCCCTCTGCACCTCCATCTTCATCTCTGGGGAAAGTGGCTGTACCCAACTTGCTGCACTGGGCACAAATAATTTCAAAGACCCAAAGCCCATGCTTTCCTCTTACCAAGCAGGCTGGGCTTGCCCTTCTTTCATTCAAATGGTGCCTATATGTCAAGGACAATTATTATTTTTGCTGTTCTCCAAGTCACATTTGCTTTGATGCTCTGGTCTGCATAGCTGATGTTAAAAAATAAAGGTCTGTCTGTCTCTGATCATCAATAACATTGATTCTTAGACTACCTTTCCTCTGAATAGCTCAAAGATCTTAAAGATTTCCATCATCTATAATCCAGGCTCGGGTACCTCCAGCTTCTGGATGAGTAAACTGAGGCAGTTTTAAAAAGTTTTATTTACACAGTGAGTGAGCAGTAGAGATGCTATGGGCATAATGACTTCACTTCTGATTAAGTTGCACTATAAAGAGAAAGAGGTCCAGATCCCATTTTCACAATGACCTACATACATGCTAGCACCTGTATTTAATTACACTTCATCTTTGTACAACTGTATACAACTAAACACACCAAGTTTTGATGGGGAAAAGAGGAGTGAACTTTCCTCCTCCCTGAGTCATTATATTGCCACTTTACTAAAAGAGAAACACAGAGTTAAAAGAGGTTAAAAACGTCACCAAAGTCATACTTTTCCCAAATGGTAGAACTGGACTCGAATTAAGACATTCCCTATCCAAAGTCTTCCGCTTCACCACCCTGCCCTCAGAAATATCTGCCCCGATCTTCTCACCAATAGTCAAGCACTGTATGAACTATCTCTTACACAGATGAGTTCTCTCCTCAAAAATAAGGTAGACCCCTAAAATGGCACAGCTGTAACTTCATGAATTCAAAACTGTCATGAGACAAAGTCCTCTCACACATATGCCCTCCGCTGGTCAGAACCTAATCAAATGGGGTTCCCCATCATGCTCCAGACAGGCCGATATTTATGCATCACGAAAGCACACCCTTCACTCTCTTCCTACCCAGTTGCCTCACTAGTCATCTGAGGGTATGAATTGGACCAGCTACACTGTTCTCTCATTCCCCAAAGTCTAGGGCCCTTCTTTTGCGTACACCTTTTTTCACTGAAGACGCACATCCGGATATCCAAGACAATCTTTATCCTTCCTCAGATACACAGAATTCCTACAAAAATCCATAGTGGCACCTCCTTCACAAGAGCCAGAATGTCCACCCGTCCTATCCTCCTGGCTAGCTTTCTCCCAGTTGCATGAGTCCAGGCCAAAGTGCGCATGCCCACACATGCACACACACACACACACACACACACACACACACACACACACTCAGGTTAGCTTTACACTCAGCCCAGAAAACATCAAAGATGAACGAACACCCCCAGTCCATCTCTTCCCTGATCATGACTTTACCATTCTCTAGCTCCACATATCAAGTCTCATTCCAGCTATGAAGGAGGCCCTGCACACTCTCAAAAACTCAATCCTCAAAGGGATCTGGACCTACATTCTGACCTGAAGTACAGCACCCTCAAATTCCCAGCCAACACCCCCTACAAGAAACAGCAACAGCACCCAGCTCCCTTCCCTTTCACACAGAAGTCTACATCTTCCTTATCCTTACGCTCCCCTTTCTACAAAACCAGAGATATATTTCAAGTCAGCTTCCGTTTGGCCCCCAAGATCCATAAACATCTCTAGAAACTGAATTATAGACCTTGAAGAAACCTCAGCAAGCATTGAGGTCTATTTCTGGCAAAATAGCAGCATTTAGCTGAGCCTGGAGAAGGAATTTTTCCAGGGCAGTGTGCCATGCCCCAGTACCCAGCAATGGGCTGAGCATCCAGTAGGCACTCCATTAGCTTTAATTGATTATCAATATGAACTGGTGATAGTGAATTCCCCCATTACATAAGAAACCCATTACAAAACATTATACAGCATGCATTCCTGACACTAGGCATGAATAGTGTATTCCTCCACTTACTCAGTCTTATGCACACATCTCTTCTCATTCTCACCCAGTGCCAATGCACAAGGACTTTTCCCCTTAAATGTACATCTCTCATTCTAAGCCTCTTCCAATTCTCTCCTCTCTGGGGAGGAAGGAGAGGGGAGGCAAACACCAATCCCTACCCAGTGTCCTTCCATACAAACGCTTTGTCTTTCCATAAAGAGCATTTGAGCTCACACTTTTCTACCTCACATGCCCCAGTGCCATTCCAGCCAAATTTCCCAGTGCACCCTCATAAAGTTCACACCCTATGCTCCTCAGATAATCTTTCCCCACCCCCCACACACATCCCTTTGGTAATCCTCAGGAGCCCAACCTTCCACACGCATCCACCTTTCGCTCACACACGCAGCCGCCCTCCTACACCACACCCACTCCATGTGTTTGTGCAGGCATGCACAAGCCATCTGTCTTCAACAGGCTGCACCTCTCCTCCTGCTCTGACACCCTTCATAGGCACAGATTTCGCATTAGCTACACCTATGTTCCTGCAAGCTCTTGTCTCCCGCTAAGCGCACAGATGCCCATCCGACAGACTCCCCAGAAACACACACCTCCCAGGCACCAGAGAGGGATGGGACTCCAGCTCTTTTGCCACCTCCCCCTACACGCACGCGCGCGCACACACGCACACGCACACGCGCACCTTGGAAAAACATCCCTATCCCTCCCTGACCACTCAATGGTCACAGTCTCACTCCATAGATAAGCAGATCCCATTCACACACAACCAAATCCTCTAAATCCAGCTCCACTCCAGTCTCACCAACACAAAATCCCACACACTCCCTAGGGGAAACACCCCAGACTTCCTACCTTCCTTCAACACTGTTTACCGGTCGAGCCTGCTTTATTTTCCAACCCCGTTAACTCCCAACGCCATACCCAAGTCTGTGTTTGCACCCAAGACAGAGGCGGTTGGATTTTATCCTCTACATTCTACCCCTCAGCTTTCTTTGTGCGACGTCTCAGGAAGGAATTGAGGGCAGGCAGGAGGCAGACTGCGTATGCTGGAGAACTTCTGAGTGTTGTGGAAACAGGACCGCTGGAAAAGTCCCCTCTATATTACAACTTTCTCCCATCCTGACGTTTAGGACAGAGCGCTTCCATGTTTTCCTCGCTCTCGCTGTTTTGCGGGGTAGGAGCGGGCATCTCTTTATTAAAAAGCATTGAGGTCTATCTCAGTACACACCATAATCAGATGAGTTACAAACATCAGGCTCCAGGACAAACACCCACTCCTTCCAGGCTCCCCTCCCCTCTCAGCAGGCCCCCGCCCCCACCTCTTCACACACATAAACAAGTCCACAGGCGCACAGTCTGCTGAGCTCTCTAGTTCTGAGCCCCGCGCTCCCGGGAGCGGCCTCCATTCGGACTCAGAACCTGCCGCCCGCCGCCAGAGGCCAACGCCAGACGATCTTTTCGGTGTTTCCACCACCGGGAATCCCACTCGCGCCACGATTCCAGAAAAAAAAGGATCCACAGCCCCCACACGGTTCGACGCAGTGGTCTCAGTGCAGTGCATCGGAAGCGCAGACAACGAACCAACGCACGCAGCAGCCAAACTCCCGCAAAGAAGCAGCGCCTCCTGGACGCGCACCGACTCCAGCCGAGAGCAACAAGCAGAAACCTACTCCCCTAGCACATCCCCTCGGCCTTCGCGCCTCCTCTCCCTAAGCTTCAACTCCCAAGCGTCCCAAATTTCATCAGGAGCATCCACCACCGAGTAAATCTCTGGGGCAATGGGGCAGTTCGGTCCGTCGTGGGACCTTTAAACTCCGACCTGGCTGGCTGCGCGGGTGCCCGGGTCTCCCAGCCTCCCACGCCACAGCTGAAAGTCCGAGAACCGGCTCGATGAAACCGCGAGGAAGTCCCCAGAGATGGCCCGGCCCCGGTGGCCGCAGCTCCCTGTAGGGGTCCCAAAGGTGTGGGCTGCGCACGGAGCTCCAACATCTGCGCAAAGGCCCAATGTGGGGTGGCCGCCGGGTGGGCGCTGGCCAAGAGAAGCCCGCGGCTCGAGGTCTTTTCTGAAAAAAACCTTTCGGGGGACTCCGACGCAGGTACGCGGCGTGGGGCAGTGAGTCCCAACTCCCAAAACTGGAATGCGACGTTCCGGGTCCTGAGCTGCGCGTCCCCTCCCCCAGCCCACGCCCTGGCCCCGGAGGTGCAGGGGCGAGCTGAGAATCAGGCGCAGTGGCCCGCAGGGTGCAGGGCGTGTGCAGGGAAGCTGTGGCCGCACCTCCCCGCCCGGGGTTCCTGTCTGCCACCCCCTTTTGTTATAGGATGCGCGGGGAGCTTTCTCAGAGAAGCTGACCGGTTGGTTGGGAGTGGTGGATGGTTGATTCTGTTGCGTCTCTTTCCTGCCTTTCCGTCGTCCCCCTTTCCCCTCGCCTCCCCCCACCCTTTCCAATCCAGGTCCCTTAAACCTGATCGCTTTCCCAGACTGAGGGAGGCTTCTAGGGCAGCCGACAGACAAGAGGGGAGGAGAGGAGGTGGAGAAGTGTCCGTGTGTGTGTGCGCGTGTGTGTGCGTGTGTGTGTGTCTGTGTGTGTAGGGGGTGGCTGCGGTTGTGCCTCGGCTCGGGCAGATCCCAGCGCAAACTTTGGGGAAGGCACAAGCCCGGGAAAGTAAGTGAGCGCGGCGCGATGGGGGTGGGGCGGGGTGCAGAGTTTGGGCACCCGCGCCGGTCCACTGGAAAATCGCTCCCCACACGGCCCCCCATCCGCAGACCTGCCCACCCAACGTGCCCGCCGCCTCCCCTTACCGTGGCAAAAGTAACCATGGCATCCGTGTGACCGTTTCCAGGGACGTCGACATGAAGAGAAAGGTGGACGCGAGCTCGGTCATTCAAAGTCTCCCCCACCCCGCCGCAGCCGCTACCCAGCAGGGGAAAATGGAGAGGCAGAAAGAAAGGAGAGAGAAGAAAGTAGTTGCGCCGGGCTGTGTCGTGGGGCGGTGCGCGGAGCTGTTCGGTAGGGAGAGGAGCTTCAACTCTGAGTCCCGTGAACATAATCTGCGCGGTTATAACCAGCCAACCCGGCCAGATGGCTCCGCGCTCAGCGCCTTAACCCCTTCCGCGCCGCGCCGCCCGCCCCCGCCCGGCCCGCTCAGCGCCGCGCACGCCGGTGCCCCAGAGCCCCTCGGACCTCGCTTCGGGACCTGTGGCGGGGAAGGGGTCATTTCTCCTAGTTCCCCTTGAAAAAGAAAAGAAAACAAAACAAAACAGCAACAGCCACAAAAACTTCCAAATCAGTAGTATTCATCAGTAACCCCCACCCTTGAGTTCTTTTTTAGAGATCCAGGAAAAAACGAAACATTAAATTTACCGTAACAGGTTACATGTTAGTGTCTTCAGCCTTTCTTAGTTGTTCTTTTTCTTGAAATTTTTCTTTTTGATCTCTTTTCTTTTACAAGGCATTAGGGCCTTTTTCTGGCCCTTTCCTCTGGCGGATCAGGTCTGAGGCGTAGACTCCTCCTCCAAACCTTAGACCCTTCCAGCTCTTGATCTCTCCCCACCCCCTACCAAGCCCACCCGCCACTCCTCCCCCCACCCCACAACACGAACACGCCCTAGGACAATCGCTCCCCGGCGAACTCGCCGCTCCCGGGGGCCGGCGCCCAGGACGCCGTGTCGGCGGTCAAGGGAGGTCAAGGTAGAGGGCGTGGGGGCGGGTGGTCCGAGGGACTAGGGAGGGGCTGTGTGTGTGCGCGCGCGCTTGTCTGCGGGAGCTGGAGTGTGGAAAGGAGAAGGGGATGGATCACAGCCTCCCATTTCACCCAGCCTCCAGCTTCTAAACCCCTTCCTTCCAAACTAGGATGGGGCCCTGCAGTTAATCGCTCGCCCAGCACCCACCAGTCTGCACCCGGGGACAGCGCGAGAAGCAGGAAAGGCGAGCAACAAACAAACCTCTTCGTGGCGCCCAGAAAGTAATGACGCGCACTTCCCCACCGGTGGATTCATTCGAGGAAAGGATGGGGGAGGGGGCAAAATCTCTTATTTGGAGATAATTTTAGCTGCCCGTTAGACCCCACTTGCTCCGAGCCGTTCTCTCTAAATTTACCAAGTTAAGTCATCGTGCTTTCGCCCATTTGCCATCGAGAGAAGTGGGGGGTTGGGGGGGAATATCACTTAGGGATCAACGAGAAATCGAGAACCCTGGAGCGGAGTTTTGCCCTTTTGCCCCCTGCCCGAGTCCTTGCGTGGTGGACCTTCTCTCCAAGCTCCTCATCCCTTCCTCCCGGCCACTTCAGCCACTCCTCACATCATCTCCTGCCAGGACCTTTTGACTCACGCGCGACTGGGGAGGGGAGCGAGTATCCCGTTTCCTCCCTGCCCTGTCGTTGGAGGTGTCTAATAAGCAAGCCACTCCATGTTTCGGTTAGGGCTCAGGTTCAAAAAATCCAAATACCTTGGAATTGTTTGAGATTTTGGTCAAACAGCAGAACTGCCCCCACCGGTTCAGGACCAACCGGACACAAGGAGAAGCTGGGGAGTTTGATGGGGAGGTGGGAAGGGAGGGGGAGTCTGGGGGTTGCGTACTAGATAGATTGTACCTGCCTCATCATTATCCTGGCTGATGGGGGTTGCCACATCGAAAACTGCCGGAAGCGCCCGCTGAGGCCCAGGGGCGTCACCTCCTGCGGTTCCTCGCAAGGGTAGGGTCCTCCTTCAGTGTCTCCCCTCGTGCCAAAATGTCGACGTCTTCCTCAGGGCCAGACGAGGCTGCCGACTCGTTCCCTCCACCCCGACACACAGCACCATGAAGGTTTGGATTGGGCGTGCTCTGTCGGGTTCTGCTTTTCTCCCTCTCATCTGGCCCGCCTCCCTGCCCTCCCCCACTTCCCGCACTTGCCCCCCTCCTCCAGCTTCTCGCCCTGGTCAAAGGAGGGATTCAGGCCCCAGTTTCAGATCCACTGATGGAGTTCTTTACTCAAGCTCCAGATCCTCCGGGAACCTTTTGCAAGGAAAGAGGTGGTTGGCTCCTGCTGCAGCAGGGAAGGGGTTAAATACATGTGCGGACTGATCTGCAGGCAGCTCCCAGGTCCCTGGCAGTCTGGAGGGAGGAGGGGAAGGGGGGCAAACAAACTTGAAAAATCAGAAGAAACGAAGAAGAAGAAAAGGCAGCAAGCAGTGTCTTTAGGACTTGGATTTCTTCTGCAGATGCCTTGCACTGGCTGGCCGCCTCACTTTGCCAAGACTTTCGGGGATCCCAGGAAGAGTTTGTATTGTTTCCAGCTCCAGGGGGTTTTGTCCTGAACTGGTGGGTCCGTCTTTGCTTGCAATCAACAGGCCTTGTAATATGAGAGGTGACACCTTAATCTTGCCAAATATGTGCTGTGTCTTCGTGGGGAGAGGGGAGGAGGGACGGAGGGAAGGAGAGAGGAAGAGGGAGAGACCCGGACAGGAGCAGAGGGTGAAAAATGCACTTTTCCTCAGACGATTGGTTTCCCTAAGGGAGAGCCTTAGCCCTTTTCTGGGCGTCTTTCACACAATCTCCCTTGAGCACCACGAACTGCCTTTTCCTTTACTGTTTTCCTTTAGACTTCAGACCTGAAGATGTCTTGCCTCTAAAGACTAGGGAGTGACACCACCCCCCAGGTCTCTGTAGTGGCTTCCAGGAGAGCAGCAAGGTGCTAAATGAACAGGGTGGGCAGAAAAAAAGAATTAGAAAGGTGTATTTTTGAAAAGATAGAATAAAAAGATTATTATATACAATGTAGAGCCATTTTTAAGCTGCAGAATATTGTGACTTCTAAGTAAATCCGTGTTTCTAAATAGAGATTTTTCTTTTCTATAGAAAGACCATAGTGGTATGTATAGCAAAAGCAAAGATCAGGACTGGAAAGTTAGCTGGCTAGGCTGCGAGCTCGTGCCCCATAGACAGCCCTGGTTAAGGAAGCATCCAGGATGAGATCTTTTAGGATTCACTAGGCAATTGCCCCTCTCCAAGTTGACTTCGTGGCCATGACTTTGGCTGTCCATCTGTCGACTATATTTTTAGGTTGCTGAACTTTCTTTTTCTCCCTGCTGCCTCTGAGCCTAAGTCCCTGACTCTTGAAAGTGATTTCTGAGAGCAGGAACCAGATCTTGTTTTTGAAAACCCCCTTTAAAACTCTTTCCTAAAGCAAATTTCCAGAGCATGCCTTCTGGGTACCCTTATCTTTTGCAACAGCACCACTCTGTGGTTGGAACACTGAACAGAAACAGAACGTGGGACTGAATTTTGCCTTTACCTCATGAAAAACAGCACTTCTCTCCTCTGTTTGAGCTCAGTGGACTGTGTGCTGTGGTGGGGGCTCGGCATGTGGTGAGGGAGGGGGCCCCGTGCAGTGGCAGTATGTGGTTAATTCATTGTGACATGTTGACCCAGGAAATGAGAGAATTGGACCGAATGGCCTCCTAGGACCCTGTTCATGTCAAAGACAAGCTTGGTTTCCCACCCCCCACCATGATCGGGTAGGTAGCCTTGAATGTTTGTTCTCTTCCATTGCTTTTCTTTCTCTCTCTTTTGAGATTACTGAAATAAACGCCACGTTTTTCACTGATCCTAAAGCATTTGCAAGTTGCATCTTCTGCTGCTGGAGGGCGCTGTGGGGAGGTCCTGCCCTACCCCATCCATCCCACCCCCATCCACCCAGACAGCTGCTAGAGCTGACTGGAGTCTGGAAGTCTCCGTTTTTCCAACAATTAAAGTGAATGCAAAAGGTGTTTGCACAGGGACTAGAGCTTAAGGGTCAGGAAAGGCGTCTTCATGCTACCTTGGCGCCTCCGCACTTGAAAGATTCCTGGCTGCCCACCCATTACTATACATCTACTGGCAACAGCATTATTAACCAACAGCTACACAGGCTGTCAGGCCACATAGCAATTCCTTTCAGGTGCCCTGGAGTCATCTGTGAGACGTTATTCTTTTCTTTCAAATTGGATCCAGTTGCCCACAGAAATGGAGTGGCTTGTTTATGTTTATTCAGCAAGCCCAGGTCTTCCCCCAACTTTCTATCATCTTAAGAAAGCACAGCTTTGCTCCAAGGACCAGTACTCTAAACAGAACACAGACATCAGATATCAACTTCTATCATCCTACATCCTCAGTCCACATTTAATAACTGAGGAAACTCAGAATAACATTAAACAAAAACATAATAACAGACCAGGACCTAGAATTCACTGCCAGGGTAGATTTTGGTGTCTGAGAAAAGCAGGTTCCCCTCTGCCTTTACCCGTTAGCCATGTGTTTTTGGACAGGTTTCTTAACTTCTCAGAACCATCTCGAGTTGGTGAAAACAACACCAATCTCACAGAAGTAATATGAAGACCAAAGGAACTAATGAATTTAAAACACTCAGCACAGTGCCTGGCACAATGTGAGTGCCAATCCCAATCTGATAGTCCTTACACTGAAAACACCATCACACCACTGGGGGAATGACTGTCTTTAGAAAGAAGCTTGGCTCTGGAATGTCCTGGGAATTATTATTTGTGTGCCACCCATACACATTTCATTCATATAATTTTATGGATGTACATTGTCCCCTTTGGAAAAATACAGCAAGAAATTAGCAGAATGACATAGTGGACATACTTAGAATTTATATAGCTTCCTAACGTGGATCTCAACGTGCATGAAAGACAGAATTGAAGAATTTCAAAGTCTCGTCTTATTCATTCTCTGCCTCTCACCCAGAACCACCTCATCATTTAAAAGGAAATCCCACCATATCCTTCAACTCTTAACAGATTGCCTGGGTATATTATTGGTTTGTTGTTATTGCTAATTATGTTCTAGGGCTTACATTGAACAATATAATGGATTGCATTGAACAACAGTGAATCAACTCATTTTGTGACATGGCATACATATTCATAATTATGTTTCAAGAAATTACCCGTAATGATAGAGGGAAAGTATGTATTCCTACCACACAGGTGGATATAGAAATCATAATAAAGTCTCCTATTTCACCAATCGTGATGTGAATTCCTAACCACCCTATAAATTAACTTTGTGCTGCACCAAACTCCACTCATAAAAAAATGACATTAAGGTTTCCTAGGTAACTAATGCATTTCCAAAGGGAATAGGCCACAGGAGACAAAGAGGGGAGGGAAAAGGGTGGGGAGGAGAAGTGAAGAAAAGAGAAAAAAACATTCGATGAGACCCATGTGACATAAACAAAATATTTCACGGGGAGGAACCCATAAAGTTTTATTACCTGGGTCTGACATAGATACAGCATTGCCATTAATTCCATCTTTGGACAATGAAATACCTGATAGGCGATCCCTCTCATCACATATGCTGGCATTTCATATTTCAGATCAAATTCTACAAACCTTGAGAGGAATTCAATTCTTCCATTCATCTGCTAAGCCGTGTCCACTCACCAGCCAGCTGACTCTTGAGCCCTCCACCAAATGTTGAGATGAGGGTGAAAAACGGGGTTGATTTGCATGTTTCAGAATATACAGATGCTTTTGATCACTGTGGACTCTAAGAACTTTGGAGTGGATCTGTTCATCTTAGCAGAAAGCTGGGGCCTGAGAATTGAATTATGGGAATTGAGGTTTGTTTTGCAACCCCTCAACCCAGTGGTGTTTCACTGTGGCTTCCTTCATTTGGGGGAGGGTCTGGATGCTAAAGAACATCTTAAATGCTTTGGAGGAAAATGGCAAGTTGTAGGTGGAGTTTAAGGCTGAAATTTACACTGTAAGAACAGAGAAATTCTGACAGGCAATGCAATCCAGAGAATTATCCATGGGTTAGAGACAGGGAAATGAGGAAAGGAGATCCAGTCTTGTCATTGTTTTGTGAGCTCAGGGAAGTAACTGCACTTTTTGGTTCCTTGGTTTTTCCGTGTGTAAAGGTACTTAACCTCATTTTCTTTTATGACTGAATATAAATAAGAAAACAAAGAACACACGAATGTGAATACAGTTAGAAATTTTGTATTATCTGATTTCTTCTACTTTCAGTAGCCTTAGAGTGACATCTGTTAGTGAAGCCTCCAGCTGCTTACCAGACACAGCCAGGTGACCCTATAATCCAAAATGTGGTGAGTTTTCCAGCAAGTACCACAGCTGACGTGCTCCTACCCATTAGCACTGGGCAGTCAATGTAGAGTAAAGCCTGCTTTTTGCACTTTCCCTGACTTGCTGGAGAAAGGACACAGGACGCAGGTTCGTGGCTAGAAAGCCAAATGGAAAGCTAGAACTGTCTCCATCACACAATTTCTTCTATTGGGCATAGAAGTCATTTTAGGCTTTAACTCTGTTAGGGGACTTGGAGTGGCATTAGGGATTAGAAGAGCCTTCCGGCCACACCCTCTATTTACCACTTTTACTGGTAGTAAGGGGCAGGGAATGTCTGGGAATTAAATGCCTAATGACTCAAGGTGCAGCCTTCACAAGGATTTGGACCAAGCAGGTTGGGAACCCAGGTCTCCTTACTCCTAATTTGGACCCATCCAGGCTAGCCATGCCTAAGAGCAACATGTGATGAAATCTCCCTTGCGTACTCACCTCCTACACGCCTGCCTTCAGAATCTCAGGCTGGGAGATCCTGCAAATGTCACTTCATTCATCTTCCTGCCCCCAAGACCAGCCCTCACCTTCCACTGATAGGTACAAAGCAGGATGGGGTAAAAAAGGTTCATCCTAATCTCCATGTTTCCTTCAAAATATTCCTCTCTCTACTCAGCCGTTCAGAAAAACTGAAGAAAGGGAGTTAGCCACTGTGTTTTTACTTTAAAGATCCTCTGTCTAGTGTTCCCATGAAGCATTAGAAAGAGTTCTTGGAAGGGCTAGAAAATACGAGTTCCAGTTAAAATAAGCTTGCATACCACTATCTCCAACACACACAAACATATACAGACTGACACGCCCCATGCAGCCAACCCATCAGATGATTTGCTGTATTTACCAATCAATTCACTGACGGTTCTGCTCCTGTCTGTGCCCTGGGAGCAGGCTGTCCTCAGGCCCCAGTTCAGAATGCAAATAATGCTCAAGAAGCCAAGGTTGACCACACTGAGCTCTAGTCTGTTCGAACCACAAACTTCCAGCACAGGAGGGATTGTTAGCAGGTAGAAACTTTCTCTACAGATAATAACAATAGGTAGCATTTATTGAGTACCTACCGAGCATGAGGTACTTAATAATCTTAGTGTTATAGGCTAGGCACTGTTTTAAGCACTGTGTGCATATGTGTGTATGTGCATACATAAAGGTACATATACACATACATGCAAACATGTGTGTGCATACAGATACATATACGCATATATACATAAACCAGCACACACACGTGCACATATGGATA